GTGTGTGTGTGTGTGTGTGTGTGTGTGTGTGTGTGTGTGTGTGTGTGAGAGAGAGAGCGAGAGAGAGAGCGCACAAGGGACAGCAGGGAGGTAACAGAGTTGACAGTGATCTAGTGCTCCCCTGCTGCCCAAGTGCAACACAGAAACCATACAGAATAGAACATAATAGAAAGAAGTGCAGCTTTAATAAAAGGAATAAATACACAGTTAACCTCATCTGTCTTATTTCCTTTCTGTGAGTCAGATACTACCACTACCTGTTCACCCACTACGTCCCGGCCAGCCTGCTGACAATGGTGGACCGCATGGCTAATTGTGAAGACATCCTGATGAACTTCCTGGTTTCAGCTGTCACCAAGCAGCCGCCAATCAAAGTCACACAGAAGAAGCAGTACAAGGAAACCATGATGAGCCAGGTAGAGCTTTATTGTCAGCTGTACACACACCACTGATATGTGGGCGTCCTTAAAGTTAAAGCAAAACTGTCCTGGAGCCTATTTTCCCATGTCCTTGTATTTAAGTGAGAAATGGGGACAAAAGTTATGGAAATTGTTCAAATATTGAGAGACAGCGCTGTAACCGGCAACTGCAAAACAAGCTGCACAGATTGCACAGCTTTCAGTGTGACGTTACGTCCACTAAATGTGTTTGCGTTTGCCACTGACAGACTTAGAATGTTGTTATTGGTGTCTGACAACATAATAGAAAAGGACCCTACAGAGAAATAAAAGGCTCCTCTTTAGCTTCTGCTTGATCCGGTCTGTTTGTTACATCTCGCTGTAGAAGTCACATTGTGGAATCTGAATGTGGAATAGCAACAGGTCCCACTCTTCACAGCATTCTTCCTCTGTTGAAAAATACCAAAGTTACCCTTTAAGACTGGTGATCCCAGCCACAATGCATTTTTTTAAGAATTAAAATGATCAGTCATCAGTGTTATAGGAAATGTTTAATTAAAAGAAAAAAATATCAGGTAGAACAACAAGACCTCAGATTATCTTGTAAGGTGAGTTTTGTCCCGTTCATGTTTTTATTACCGTGTATTTACCCTTTAACTGCTCGGTGCTCTGCCAGCACCATTAGCAATTAGACGCCGACTCGCCGTCAACATGTTGAGAGACGTTGAGAGGCAATCCAAATGATCCCAATGCGCCCTTAAAAACATTCTGAAATAAATGATGTCATACCACTAACAGAGCAATCCAGCAGTCCGACAGTATAATAAATCCTTTAGGGCAGGCTTCCTGAGTGTTAGAATATTAAGAAAATAGGAAATAGCAAAACTAAATCCGCTATGACCCTCCATCTACAACGGAGTGTTTGCAATGTGTTGAGGCAATGACACGTTAGCAATACCAAGTTTCCATAACTGGAGCCTGTATGTTCACCTCCATGTCGTCTTCGTCCCTGACTTTTGCTTGGACATTTCTGTTTCTCGGCACACAATCAGTGGAATAGTGTGAAACGATCAACAGGAATGTGTATCTTGCATCATGCATCCTGCATCTTGCATGTGCTATACAGCACAAGATACAAACAACATGGAGACTCCTTTATCATTAATAGTACTCCATAGCGCTACTTTTGGTCAAAATGTGCACTGGGCACCTTTAAGAGAGCTTGACGTTGGTTTTGATATGTTCCACATAGAATAGTTAAATTCCCTGACTCCCTTTTCAAAAATAGAAAAGACGATGAAAAGAGATTCACCTCCTTGTGTTGGATGAATAGTGGAGAGGCTTCAGGCTATGTACAGCCCTGACCTTCTCTGTGGGAGATCCATATATGTCCATGTTGTATGTGTGCGTGTGTGTGCATGTGTGTGTGCGTGTGTGTGCGTGTGTGTGCGTGTGTGTGTGAGCGCCCGTGTATGTGAGTGCTTCCTGTGGCCAGCACTATGTCAGCTTTTGATTGATGGCCTGACCACAGGCAGGACGATGACTCGGCAGTATGGACTCAGTGATTAATGTCTTAATTGTGAAGGCAGCACGGCAAACCGAGATTTACTTCCTCCTTTCCCCGCTCTCGCTTTCTCTCTTCCTTTTTGAGTGTCCCTTCCCCCCTCTCTCACCCCCGATTTGTGCCTTTGCTTGAAGTAAAGTGGAGGAATCTTTTAGGAAACTTGTACCACCAGATTTGAAGCAAAAATAAGTCAGGACAGATGTGTCTTGGCTGATATTTCTCATTTATCCATTCATTTTATATTCCAAGAGTAGAGATGTTTTATGTTTTGAAGGGCCAAACCATTTCTTTGAGTTGATTTTTTTATTATTCTACCTGACCCTCTGTAAACCCGGCTGCCACCCTCCTGCTGCACACAGGATGAATCTGCTCCAACTCTATTCAGGAAGCTTCAAATGCTGTGACCACTGAGGGGAACAGCGCACAACAACTGCATCGTTCAAATAACTGTCGTTAATAATGTAATATCTCAGTGACCTACTGCTAAAAATGAAGGTGACATGAAAGAGCTGAAGTCCATGTTAACAATAAGATGCAATCAACGGCAAGAGCCTCTAAAACAAGTATGCGATATATGATCAGCTGCACCATTTTAGACTCTTCAAATCTCCCAGGTTATGTGTACCACTGCTGTACAGGCAGAGGGAGATATACAACCTGCTATAGTTGCAGCCAAAAAGTTGCAAAGCAGGTTGTACTAAAGACACTTTAGTGTATGTGTTCTACCAGTTTGACTTTCTGTGCTGCTGTTTGCAAAAGTGTCAGCAACTACTCTGGGGATTCCCACAGAGTGAAACAGCTGTCCCAGGTCGACCAGCTCTGTCATTGTGATGAACCTGGATTCTCTAGAGGAGCGGGTGGTGAAAACAAATAGCGGGAGATACAGTATGTGTTACTATGAGCTACGCCTCCTGCCACGTCATGACAAGCTGTCCGCGATAAGGAGCCGCTTCACCAGCATGGAGGCGCTCCTGTTCGACCCTCACCCGTCAAAATCCGCCGTCTTTGCTCATGATGCTGGCGAATAAGTCAGCATGCCGCTTATGTGTTTATGAGCAATATGGCCTCATGTGATTCTATGGGATAGCAATCAAAATAGTTGTTTCAAGTTTGTTGTGACAATAAATAAAAACTTGGGAGACAAAGCAATTTTAATCATGCAAGCATATAGACATCTAACCTTGTAGCCAAGGAAACACGCAGCTCTAAAAACAGACCACAGAGAGGAAATGAAAGCCGTGTTCAGATTCATTACAGCACTGCTAGCATACCTTTTTGTCCCCTCTTCAGTAATTATAATTGAAACGATGTACCGTCCAGAGAACAGAAGGCCAGGGTGGATTTAACAGCACAGCACAGAGAAAATAGGAAGCAGCTTTGGTAGGTATGTCCTGGCTGTGTTAGCTCTCAGCTTTTAAGGTACAGTGGTTCACCAACTAAACCTGTCTAATCACTACATCACCAAGCTACTTAAACCAAATATACATCACAAAGAGGTGCAGTGAATTTTCTTGGTGTGACCAAGACTTTATCAGGTGTTTATATATTCCTTATTTTCATTATCTTCTAGATAGTATTACAGTACCAGCTGCTACAAAGCTGTGTTGATTGATTCCTTAGTTGCTCTGATACATTTATCCTCCCCCCTCTCATCTGTCTTTCTCTAAACCAAGGGCTCCAAGTCATCTCGGTGGGCCGACCCAGACCACTTCGCCCAGCGACAGACCTGCATGAACGCCTTCAGTCGCTGGCTGGGTTTCATGCCCCTGGTGCACTCCCAGATGAGGCTGGACCCCGTGTTGTTCAGGGACCAAGTTTCCATCCTGAGGAAGAAATACAGGGACATTGAGAGGCTGTGATTGCGCAAGGATACACACCAAATCATTGTGTGTGTTCGAGAGGTCGTGACCAGAATGCACACACTGAATGTGAACATTTGTGAGGCTATAAAGGAAAACTCACACATGGACACTGGACATAAAAATGATAAAACACGGAGGTACACACAAGGCATTTAACTGCATATTTTCATAGGAAAAAAAAACTATGTATGCAGGGTTGACTGTGCAAACCCGCCATCTGTGACAATACACATGAATATGAATGCATGGATACACATGCAACAACAACCTGGACAAATTCAATACAGTCCTGACCACAGACATCCAGTATGTGTTGCATGGTTTGAACAAGACAACTGTACAAGGACCTGAAAAACATATTGTGTTTGAGTAAAAGAAAAAGAGAATCTAAGAGCTATATTTATTGTCGAAGTAGGACTGTTGGCCGTAGAGGAGCATACAATATATTGTTGGACAAATGGTTAAGAGATTTAATGGTTCGAGGTTGTATTCATAAAGTCAAAGGATGCACGCTCTGGGGTTACGTATGTAAAGTAAAGATACATTGTGGACAAAGGGGACAAACTGTAGCTTCTGGGTCGGGCCACGTGACAGCTGCTACCCCAAAACACCCGGAGACAATGGCTCTTGTACACTACTGTAGATTTTCAGCTGCAGCTCTTGCCTGTATGAAGCAAATAGAAAAATAAAATAAAGAGATGTTGTGTTATGAGACAAGAGGCCAGGTTTCAACAGCATTCCTTGCTTCTTTTCTTAATTTATTTATTTTTTAACAAAATTCTACCCTTTCTTACTTTCCAGTTCTTTGAATTTTGTTGTTGTCACCGACTCTTCTGTCCTCACGCGTGTAGGTGCACACTATTCAGCTATGTAGACAGATTCCTAATAAAGGTGGAAGATAGGTAAAAAGGTAAAAATAAATACAAAACAGATAAATACATTAAAATGTTGTTTTAGCAACACATTACGCTTTGGCTACGTTGAAGACATAATGTATCTTTGTACTGGCTGCTCCTGCAGCATCCAGCATAGGGCTGTGTGAGTCACAGCCATAACAAGACAGTGCGCCTTTGTTTTGGGATTACGTGGGATTGTTGTTGTTCAGTTTTTTGAACCAAGCAAAACTTCATTCAGTCTGCTACGAATTGCTATGTCTTGTCAGCTATTATCAAAGGATGCAGATGACAGGAGACAAATAATGGAAATGTAAAAACTAAAATGCCAAAATTGTCATTGGCACTCAATAAGGTATTTCCTGTATATCGGTAGTTCGATTAGGAAATATGTATATATACACTTTACAACCAATTTCTGTGTAAAAGGGCCATGCAGACCTCGCGTAAAAAAATAAAAATAAAAAACTGGATTTATTTCTACATTTGTTGAGCAGATCTCTGTGGTGCATATTCACCACTTACACGCTGCGTTCACCCCTGATGTAGCCATGTAATTAACAATCCCACTACTTTTCTTGGCAACACCTGCCCTGCGTATCTAGTTGAGGTCAGTGCCATTGCTTGAGTTTTAGGCATTGACCTCAAGCAATGACCATCGGCTTACTGGTACCTCGCAGTATCATTACCTAAAAAACTGTGACCGTGTTTTTCTCCAACCTATTTTAGATGAAACACCGGTCACTTCTGTGTGACAGAAAGCCTTGATGGTTGCGTTCCCATGAAAACCGCACACATGGGGGACTCGTTAAGTATGACGGCTACAGTTGCTTGGGAAATAGCACTATGGTGCACTGAATTTGATGAATTTATCAGACCACAGATGAGACAAGAATTAGCTAGATAGAGCACCCCCGCGATCCCACCGCCTCCTACCTCGCTGCTGGGAGACTACTTCACCGGGAGGAGAGCAGACGACAGCTGAGCCGGACCTTAAGTTTAGAGGCTGCAACTCAAATTCAGCCCGCAGTGACCCCCGGTATTTGGGTTCGCTGATTAATTGATCAAATTCAGTGCCCCATTGCTCCAACGACAGACAGGGCAGGTCTAGATTACTGATTATTCTTTTCAAACTGACAGCAATATTTTGGGATATAACCTGCTGCTCACTGATGTTTTCTGCAAACATCCAACCAGTAGGAGTCACTAGTGCAGAGACAAGGTCACAATCCCCTACTGGCTTCTCATCAAGTATACGCGAACATACGCCCAAGTTTAAGCTCTGCTGCAAGAAATTGAACGTCTCTGCAATGATAGGTGAGTGTTTTGGGTGCTTTTATTTTTTGGTTTACAAAAGATGCTTGTTTGAACTTTCTTACAACCTTTTCAGTTTCAATCATGGCAAGAATACGTAGCAGACGTGTGAAGGAAACTGTATGTGTGTGGTGCTGCCCTGAGGTCAGAAGTTGAACAAGTCTTAACTTGTGCTGCACTGTGCTTTACATCGGTGTGAAAACAGCCTTAGAAACGGCCGCTACATCACATCGGCAGTTGTCTTCGACTGAATGATCCTTTTCGAGAACAAGCAGAACAATTGCTAACCTTCCATGACAAATAAAAGTTTTAACAATTGCATCAATGTCTGACACTAATGAGTACAGATTTCAGAAACATGCCCCAGGTTATATACACGCACACACAGCCACAGCACTTTCATGTATGGAGGATTGTTCCCATGACCATATAGGAGCCAATCAACCATATTTCCTTCATCCCCTCTGTCATTCTTCATTTGTCTTTCCCTTCATCTATCATTGATTTTTTTCCCTCTCACCTTTCTTCTCCACCCTCCTCTCAGACACAATGATTATAATCATCTGATCTAGTTTTTTTTCTAGTTTTCCCTGTACAGAATTCCTTCATCTAATCCCTTTCTTTCCTTGTCAGGTTGTTTTCTCTCTCGCAACCAATAACCACAACCTCTTCATCATCTGGCGATCACAGTTCTTCCTCTCTCGATGTGACACGTGTCATGCGCTGCATTCCTTTCATAAGGAAAATAATAAGTAAAGACAAAAGTACAGACATGTCTGCTGATTGGATAATATATGCAGCTGGAGCTGCAAATACAGACTATGTTGTACATTAGGTTGCATGATATTTTATTTCATTAATAAATAAAGCTTTATTTTTTATAATGAAAAGTTTCTTTAAGTGTTTTTTTTTGTCATTTATCTTTGTCATTAAGCAGCAGTACATTTGAGGATTTGTTATATAGTTGTAAATTGAATCTTGATTTGGACCATTGGTAAAAATGAAGATAAAAAAAATAAAAATAATAATAATTCTACCCTCTGTGGGAATGACGTGTTTCAGTTTTCCTTCCTGTGTGTTTGTGTCACCTGTCCTCCTCATATGTTCCATGGTGGAGAGGAGGTCGTGTGACTCAGGCTAAAGCTGTTTGGTGACACCTGGAAGCGTAACATCCTCCTGGGTCCATCTTTTACACATATTTTCACACTATAATTGCACTTTGACATATGGATTGTCTATACTGGTCCATTCTGTACACTCAGCATCTATTGCACGTCATGTTTGGTTATGCATTAGTCTAATCTATTTGTAGCCTTGCCGTTCTTTTATTTATCTAACCTTGAAAACAGCCTTCGCTCAAAGTAGTAGACTGCCTACAACATATTTGTAGAATTTAAAATCTAGAGATGGTCAGAGAGTCAGCTCATTGACTATCTACTCAAACATTTTCACAGTGGCCTGTCAAAATACAGGGACACCATTTGTACGAACACTGGAATTCAATGAAACGTGTGTTGACGAGACCAGCATGGCCCATTTAACATTAAGAGTTAACTATTTTCTAAACAACTTAATTAATTCCCTCTTTTTTCTCGTTCGTTGGGCATTCTCTTTTTCTACAGTCTGGCAAACCACCAGCGCCAACAGATGATTTAATGTGAGCTACAATGACTTTTATTTCAGTTTGCTTTAGAGAATTCTCCTTTTGCTCTTATGATGTATTATTATGGTCACTGGAGCCTGTGTGTGTGTGTGTGTGGGGGTGTGAGAGAGAGAAAGAGAAAGAGAAAGAGAAAGATCATAATGCATATTATCCTATGTATAACAATGGTTTTAAAGCATTAGGAGTACTCTTGAGACTAGCAGTAACAAAAACGTGCTCCTGATGAATATTAAATGAGCCTTTGTGCATAGATCATCACCAAATACAATTGTTGGTCTGTGTCTCTGCTTGTTTCATGGCTTTTGCTGGAAGTTAAGGCAATACAAATGTGTCTACAACTCAATACAGATGGTTATTCTTTTGTGGATTAGATGTTATGTTCTTAGTGTGGACTTTACCTGAAGAATTTGCAGAAAAAAACGGGCTCTTGGAAGTTGTCATTGGTCTCTCAGTCCTTCTCTAAAAGGACTATAAGACTTCTAAGAGAATGGTGCCATGTATGACTTGATTTCCCAGTTTAAGTTTAGGCAGCAAAAGCAAAGTTAAGTTCAAAAAAAGCTCATGGCTGTGGTTAAAATAGGCCAACATAGTTTTTTCTGAAGGCGACAGGATGAAACTGCGGCCTACGTTATTAAAGTCAGACACTCTTTCTGTCACTTTGCTGCAGCCTTTTTTCAGCAAACTGCGATGGAGCATGCAGACAAATTTCTTGCGTCACTTGTCAGCCTCGTGTCACTTGTTATGCCACAGTGCTTTGAGAGGTAAATCACTCAAAATATATTACAAAAGTGAAAGCTTTGAGGCATAAAAACATTAGGTTCATTTTTGGAAAGTTTTCGAACCAGTCCTCCAACACAATCGTTCCTCTGCTGTCCATTCATATCCCCAGAATGTTTTAAATACTCCCAAGACGTGGCTGAATATGCCGATTTGTCAAGCGACTCACAATTATCTGTCAATAACGGAATTTTGTTATTTACATCCCCCGATGTCATGCCATGTTGTTCATATATTTTTCTGTCTCTGTTGTTTCTCTGAAATAGAATTAAATGTATGCACTACTGACATTTCTGTTAACTGTGGAGCTTGTTTGCAGTTCGTATTTGGATGTTTAGGTTTCCCTCAACGGCAGCAAACTCCCCCTGCAAGTAAGTCATTTGCATATCTGTTTGTGGTTGTAAAAAGCCAATGAAGGTGCACAAGTCAAGCACCAATAGCTGTCACTGCTGCATATTCATTCTTCTATTATTCTTGTTTTGTCTGCCTCTCTGCCATCTGAATAGGATTTGCGTCAGTGAAGCACAGAGAAAAGGCCCCCCCCGTCTGTAAAGAGCTGTCAACAGGGAGTCAAGATCATTTTAATATCTTGCACACAAAGCCCTCTCCTCTGTGTAAGAGCATGTTCAAGGGCCTTGTCTCTACTCTGATCAATACAGGTCAGTGTTATTGGATGTGATCATCCACGGGTTCCCTCAGGAGGAAACTATCATTTCACTTCCCCCGGTTCATACTTATCGGACAGTAAACATGGATCCCTGTTCCTGCTGTAAGTCAGGCAGCACAAATACACGTAAAGCTATGTGACTATCTCATGGCCCTTTTACAAGGAGAGCAGCATTTATTTTGTTGGCTCCAAGGTAGAGTTCCTCCTATTTTAGCAAGCACTAAGGTTTAGCCAATCACAACCATGCAATGTCACACATGGCAGCCACATGTGGCATTTAGCCACACAGCTAAATGGCAACTTACAGTAAAAACAATGGCAGATCACCCTATTTATCTGGCAGCAGCCACAGGGTGCTGCAGCCGGAGACTGCTGCCA